CGCTGGACAATCTCTCACAAGATGGTCGGTACTATCACACTCATGGCACTTTAGAACCTGGCCGTCTCTACCTCGCGGGTTTCCCCGCCTACCTTTGCCTTTTCCTGAGGTCTCTCTACGGCCTTTGCCGCGGCCCTTTCCCCCGAAGAATATCTCATCATACTGTTCATCCGAGAGCCTCTGGAAGAATGCCGCGATGCCTCGTCCGTTCAACCTCCGACGACCCCGCTTGCCCTTACCTTTTCCTTCGAAGCTCCTCCGCATCCTCCTCCTAACACGTCGCACTGGTTTTCGTGTGAACCTCGTCCACCTCCGTTTAGCTTGTTGTAATAACCAAAATAGGTGTTCAGCCCGCTGATTGCCAGTTTCCATATTCATAATATCTGACCAGTCTATAAAGCTTCAACACCGTCGGATGATGCAGTATCAGCGTCGGTGCCGGAGTCGAAATCATCGTCTCCCAAGTAGGTGGACACGCCGTCGGTAAGGGGGTTTGATTCACCCCACAGAGAAAGGTGTGGTTGAGGTTCTCTGGAAGGAGGGCTGGTTGCCCAGCTTGGTTGTGGTCGATCCCCTGCTAATAAAGCAGTAGATTATCCGGGATCATCGGCCCATATGCTTGAGGGCCCGTTTCCAGGCTGGGCTTCAGTGGTTAAGGTAGTGTAGAAGTTTCCACTACCAGATCCCCTTCCCCTTCCAAACACAGATCCTATATTGCCAGGAGTCCGTTCTGATAGGTGGCCTATCGAACGCATCCTCTCCAGCAACTCATCATACTGTTGTTGAGTTCGGGGCGTTTGAAGATTGAGTGGCTGTAAGAGTTGCATGGCTCGCTGGTTGCCGACGCCTGAGGCGCGGAACAGGATCGTGGTTAGTAACTGGAAGTTGGGAAGGTCGAATCCCACCGACTGTGCCTCAAGTCGGGCCATTTCGAATCGGGTTAGAGTGACATCGACTCGTTCTCCGTGAGGCACATGGAAGTCGATGAGCTGTGTGCCGGAAGTGAGCTGGCGCTCATCTTCCAGGCGCTCGAACTTCATGCTTAGGAGGAACATGATGTAGGTCACTGGGTCTGTGTGGACCCCATCGATGTCAGCACCATAGTTTATAATGTCAGGTGGTACCCTCATGGCGAGTGTTCTCGCTAGGCCACCTAGGCCGCGTTGTATAGCGGCCGCTTGGGCCTGTGGCGTCATACGTCCGCTAGTGACGTTGAGCCATGCGTTGACCTCATAAACGTACTCACGAAAAGGTACGTTGCCTTGAGGGTCCCAGTATGGGCCATGTGTTTGCCCATCGGTGCTGTTTTCTCCGCGGCGCATGTGTCCGATTGCTGCCCCCAGCGCGAACCATATGATAGCGAAGATAACCAGCCCAAGGCTGTGTAGATAGGGGTGGTTATTAGGCGCGTTGCCGCGCTGGGGTAGCGCCTTGTTGAGTCTTCGAGGCGCTCTATCTGGCGGATCCCTCCGCCCATGCTTCAAGTATTGCGCTTTTGGCTCGTTGCCGAGCGGTTGGTAGTAGCGCAGTGGTGAAGCGTATATGGTACCAATGTTGTTGTCTAGACGTCGTACCTCTCGTGTTGCTTCTTGCTCTTGGATAGATCCTCGTAAACGTACTGGGAGTGATAGCGCAAGGTGGTAGGTGGTCACGAAGATCGTGCCGAATAGTATGAGGATGAGAAGAGCAAGAGCTGACCACACGAGGGTGCGGCCAGCTCCGCTACCAAGTCGAAAGTGAGCCTGGTAACTCAAATAGCATCCGATTCCATGGGAAGCGGATGGCAAATAGCGTCCGGTATCGTACTGAGGTGGTTCAGTAAGAGGAATGGACGGATAGGATAGGATAAGATCGATGTAATGATCTTTCCAGCACATAGCGAACACAAGCAGTGTCCGGGCAAATAGGGCGCGCGTGCCTTGAGCCAAAGGCAACGGCGCGCGAGCTATACTCCCGATACTATAACATCTCACAAAGAGCTACCCTTAAAGTAGCGAGCCCAACACCAGCTGCGACAAGGGCTTGACCACGTAGATTGCCGAATTCTGTGTTGTAGGGTTTCTTGTTGTCTGGTAAGGTTTCTGAATTCTAACAAGCATTCGCGGACTTCGGCATGCGTCGCTTCCCCTCCCGGGGCCCCAGTCCCCAATAAAAACACGATGGGCCGTCGCTCCCGAGGCGACGGCCCCTAGTTAAAAACGATGGATATGCGTCCCGAGCTTCCAAGACGGCCCATGCAGGCAGCTAAGGACACCACGATGGCCCCAGATGCCTCAAGGACGGCCCACGGTGGCCCTAAGGCGGCCGAAAAAGGCATTAAGACGGCCCAAGATGCCTCAAGAGGGTCCAGCAGGGCCACAAAAGGACCTCCAACAGGGTCCGAAGAAATCAATATCATTGATTTCTTGACGGGATGTGGAAGATTTTCGGATTCTTTCTTGGGGGGGTCCCTCAGCTCAGGACGGCCCAAGAACCCTGTGCGATGGCCCAGAAACGGTCCAAGAGGCCCCCAACAGGGAGGGCCCCAAGATGGCCCAAGGGAGCCCTAGAGGCTTTCAAGAAGGCCCCCCGTGGGACCCAAAACGATTTTAGGCCCAAGACGGCGCCAAGACGGCGCCAAGACGGCCCCCCGACACCCACCGTACGGCCAGGAAGGCCCCATGACGGCCCAAGAGGGCCCCAAGACTGCGCAAGAGGGCCCCAAAACAGCCCAAGCCCGAATGGACCGACCCCCCAGACTGCCTCACTGAGGGTAAAGACAGCCTGAACACGGAAAACGAGGTCCATGAGAGCTCCTCACATCTTGAAGACGAAAGGTGCCACATGCGACGGCCTTCCTCTACCTCCTCCTCCTCCTCCTCCTCCTCCTGCTGCTGTTCCTCCTTTTCCTCGTCATCAGCATCAGCATCATCATCATCATCATCATCATCATCATCATCATCATCATCATCAGCATCGTCATCATCATCATCATCATCATCATCATCATCATCATCATCATCATCATCGTCATCATCATCATCATCGTCGTCATCATCATCAACATCATCATCATCATCATCATCATCATCATCATCATCATCATCATTATCAGTACCATCACCATCACCATCACCATCACCATCACAATCGTCATCACCACCACCATTGCCATCACCATCATCGTCATCACCATCATCCTCATCGTCACCATCATCGTCATCCCCAGCATCATCAGCACCAGCAATAACATCACCACCGACAACATCATCAATATCATCAGCATTGTCATCATCATCATTTCCGTGCTGATCCTCCTCCTCCTTATCATCACCCTCATCATCCGCATCATTATTGTCTTCATCATCACCATCATCCTTAGCATCCTCATCCTCATCCACATCCTCATCGCCGGCACCATCACCATCACAAAACACCAGCACAATCACCACCATCACCAACATCCCCATCCTCATCCTCATCCTCATCCCCATCATAATCTTCCTCAATCATCGTCATCATCATCATCAAACTCACCATCGTCATTGTCACCCTCATCCTCATCATCATCCTCATACTCATCCTCATCGTCGTCGTCCTTCTCCTCCTCCTCCTCGTCCTCATCCTCATCATCATCATCATCATCATCATCATCATCACCAGCGTCCCCATCGTTCCCATCATCCTGACACTCCCCAACATTCTCATCACAACTCCTCAAAACCTGGACACACGAGGTGTCAGATGTGACGGCCTCCCGTGCCCCCTCGAGCAACCCCAACCCAGAATTCTGAGTTGAAACGTTGGCGCAACTTGCCGCATGCAGCTGGATTCTTTCAGCGACGACCATCATATTTTGCGTCGACAACTCATCAACACAGTAGGAATCATCGCCTGGTAAGGAGTGCCACTGGGCCAAGCCTTAATGGGACCTGCCCCATGGGGCCCAGGCAGTGGCTGACATGGAACCCAGGACCTGAACTACGGGGCCCCCCCTGTGTGACGGGGGTGGAAACCCACTCAGATGCGCCCAGGCCAATGGGATGATGAGTTTTTCCCCCACCGCAGCTCTCACGCACAATCATCCACCAACCACGTCAGAGCTCCAATCACAAGACGAGCTATGCATGCAGGGAGGAGGAGAGGAGGCGCAACACAGAGAAGCAAGAGAAGAAAAGAGCAGCGGCGGGTAGGCCGAGGGGAGGATAAGGAGAAAGAGGAAGAGAAAGACCAGCGTCATTCCAAGACACATCAACGATGTTGAATAAACCCTGCTTCCAAGTTCCCGCATCTGAAACCCCTGCAATCATGTATTTTCATTGCGGGGAATGCCCCATTGGAAGACAACCGTCTGAGAATCTTCAATCGTGCCAGAAAGCAATTCCTGGGGCGCCAATGCCGCGAATCAATGACACCGGTGCGTCCTGACAACCCTAAACCGTGCCAGATCGCCATGCCTCGGACTTCACGACAATGAATCATCGTGACCGTTGCGCCGTGACAGTCCTAAATCGTGCCAGAACACCACTGATGGGAGCTCAACCATACCCTTCAAACTGGTGCGAACTTTAAAAACAAGTGTGCGTGGCGCTAAAAGGAATACCACAAATCCCAAAGGCACCGCCCTCCATCCGTGCATTTGTTGCAAACTTTTAAGACGAATGGGCGCGGTGCTAATGCGAGAACCTCGTTTTGAAAACCGCCTGCCCTCCATCCGTGAAACTGCTGCACCATGTTAAGAGGAGGAGGAGGAAAGAGAAGCTGAGGAGGAGGAGGAAGAGGAGGAGGAGGAGGTGAGAAGGGATGGATGAGCATGAGGATGAGGAGGAGGGCAAGGAGAGGAGGCATTAGGAGAGCGAGAAGGAGGAGGTAGAGAAGGATGCAGAAGTCGGAGAGGATCTCTTCTTCTTCTGCTCCTGCTGCTGCTGCTCCTCCTCCTCCTCCTCCTAATGCTCCTCCCCCTCCTCCTCGACGTACCTCCTCTTCCTTCTCACCACCATCCAGCTACCAGATGCGACGGCCTCTGCACGATCTGGTCGAAGAGCTCCACCGACCCAAACCACTCGCGGATGTACTCCTCTATCATGCGGCGGTCGTCCTCCAAGACAGCGAGGGGGGAAAGCCGACGAGGAATGATGCAAAGGATGATGATGACGGAAGAAGAGGGAAGACGAGGACGCGGACAAAGGGGACGATGACGAAGAAAGGATACAGGAACAAGGAAGGATAAGGAGGATGGACGACGAATGACGAGGCCGAGGGACCAGGACGAGAACGACGGATGACGAGGAGAGACAAAAATAGGTGTGGAAGGAGAAAAAGAACAAGGAGAGGGAGGGAGGACGAAGAGGATGGAGGAGAAAGGATGACAAGGACGAGAAGGGAGGAGAAGGGAGGTGTGAAGAGGGAGCGTAACGAATACGACGGAGAACGAGTGAGGGAGAGCGATGACGAGGGGGAGGAGGAGGAGGATGATACATAAGGAGGAGGAGGAGGAGGAGGAGCAGGAGAGTCGAAGAGTAAGAGGAGGAGGAGGAGGAAAGAAGCGCGAACGAACGCACGTCACTGTCGGCAAGAAGCGTCACACTTGCCACGATGCTGCGAGGAAGCAGAACGGAACACAGAGTGTCCGCCAGAGAAGCTCTCTGAGCCTTCAACGAGGCCAGCCCAGGCCCTCACCCCAGGGAGGCGGAGGAGGAGGAGGAGGCGGAGGAGGAAGAGGAGGAAGAGGAGGAGGGGGAGGAGAGGGAAGAATACCATGAGGAGGCAGAATGGGGAACAGGGAGGAAAAGCATGAGAATGGATGGAGGGAGGAGCAGTAAGAAGAGGAGGGAATGTGATGGGCGGTTAGGGAAGATGACGGGAGGAGGAGAGAAGGGGATGGAGGAGGGAAACAAGGATGCGAGAAGAGGAGGACGAGGCGGAGGGAAGAGGCTGGGGTAGAGCAGGATGGGGAGGGAGGAATAATGACGTGGAGGAGTGAGGGAGTGGCCCTCTCCTCGGTCCTCGTTCGTCGTTCTTCATTCCTCCTCCCTCCAAACCTCCTTCTCCTGCTCCTGCTCCTCCTCCAGAGGGGCCAGGAAGATGAGGCAGAGGGAGTAGAAAGAGGAAGAGGTGGTGGAGGAGGGGGAAGGAACCTCCCAGGAGGGGAAAAGGACGGAGGTGGAGGATGAAGACGAGTGTAATTATCCCAGTGCGACCCTACCTAGGAGTTGGAGCATTTAGGAAAGCAACATCTACATCTACACCGACAGCTACATTTACATCTACAACTGCATCTACATGCCGTCTACTCTGCGCTATGTTATGCTATGCTATGCAGTGCTTTGCTATGCTGCGCTATGCTATGCTATGCTATGCTAGGGTACGCTCGACAGCGCTGTGTTATGCTAGGCTATGCTATGCTATGCTATGCTGCGCTATGCTATGCTATGATATGCTGCGCTATGCTATGCTATGCTGTGCTATGCTGCGCTTTGCTATGCTATGCTAGGCTATGCGATGATATAGTATGCTGCGTTATGTTATGATATGATATGATATGTTATGTTATGCTATGCTATGCTATGCTGCGCTATGCTATGCTATGCTATGCTATGCTATGCTATGGTATGCAGTGATGTGCTATGCTATGCTATGCTGGGCTGTGCTATGCTAAGCAATGCTATGCTATGCTACGCTATGCTATGCTGCGCTATGCTATGCTATGCTATGCTATGCTGAGCTATGCTAGGCTATGCTATGCTTGGCTATGCGATGCTATGCTATGCTGTGCTAATGCTGCGCTGCGCTATGCTGCGCTATGCTGCGCTGCGCTGCGCTAAGCTAAGGTAAGCTAAGCTATGCTAAGCTAAGCTAAGCCAAGCTAAGCCAAGCTAAGCCAAGCTAAGCCGAGCCAAGCTAAGCTAAGCTAACCTAAGCTAAGCTAAGGTAATATGAGATAAGCTAAGCTAAGCTAAGCTAAGCTAGGCTAGGCAAAGCAGAGCTAAGCTAAGATGAGATAAGCTAAGCTAAGCAAAGCTAAACCCGGGGGGGCGCAACTGGGGGAACCGCGGGGCGGATGCCGGGGGAACCGCCCGGGGCGTGTAGCACTGCGCGGCCCTTTAAGCCAAGAGAGTAAGAACCCTTCTAGGCAGAGCCTAGGTAGGGAATAAACCCAAGATGCACCAACGATGTTGCAACACACCCTCCCTGCAAGCTCCCTCTTCACAGGCCACTAAAGGAAATCGTGTTCAACGCAGGATGTGGGCCATTAGAAGACAATCGTCTGAAAATCCTCAATGCTGCCATAACACCGTTCCCGCGACTTCAGTGCCGCGGATCAACATGAGTGCTGCGTCCCAGTATTCCAAATCTTACCAGAGCACGACATCAGCACCGCGAATCAATATGACAGTTGCGTCCTGAGAATCATAAACCGCACCATTGTAAACTTTAAATGAGTACGCGCGGAGCTGAAGGGCGAACCACATCTTGAAAACGAACCGTCCTCCAACCGTGAAGCTGCTTCAAGCTTTCAATACACATGTGCGCGGCGCTGGGCCGAGAACCACATGGTGAAAATCACCCGCCGTCCATCCGCGAAGCTGTTGCAAGCATTGAAGACGAATGTGCGCGGCGCTACGGCGTGAGCCACATTTTGAAAGCCAACCGCCCTCCGTCAGCGAAACTCAGCGCCATAAGTGATCATAGATGCTACGGAGATCTCAGGCGAATAGCCTGAACCGCCCTACCAGCACGCTTGGGACGCGACAGAAAGGAGTTGTTTACAGTGGATAGGGATGGAGGAGGAGGAGGTTGGAGGAATCGCCCCCTCCTCCACGGTAACCTTGGCGTTGCTCACGCTAAAGTTAGAGAGCTGATCGTCCAGGATCTTCCGGCTCTGCAGCGACATGTGGCAGAATATGAACTTGGGCACCCCGAATCCGCCCGACCCCCACTCGCTGGGGCTCCCCAGGAAGACCGGCGCTCCGCTTCGCAGCGGCTCCTCTCTATATCCTCCTCCTCCTCCTCCTCCTCCTCCTCCTCCTCCTCCTCCTCCTCCTCCTCCTCCTCCTACTACTACTACTACTCCTCCTACTCCTCCGCCTCCACTCATCCTCCTGCTCCTGTTCCTACTCCTCCATCCAATCGCCCTCCCAGAGAACTTCCCGATCGAACCCTCGGACTGGTCGGTGGGGCGGGCCAGGCGTATCGCCTGAGACTTCCCCACCACTGTGTATCCTGAAGCTGAAACGCCGAACAACCCTTTAGGGCGTGAGCGGGTTTCCTCTTCCAACCCCCTTCTTCCCCTTCGGAGAAGGGTTGATCACTTTCCCCTATTGATAAACACCCCCTCACCCACGCGACCAGCAGCCAACCAGAACCAATGAGGGCCCCCACCCCACTGTCTTCGTCAAAAAACAATGTGAAGTCCACTTTGGGGCAAATTCTTGGGTCATGATCTGGGGGGCCACGAACACTCCGTATTGTATTGTTGTTTGACAAGGACGGCGGGGAAACCGCAAGGCCGCGCGCAGGGCTGGCACCCCCTTCAAAAAACAATGCAACATGCACTTCGAGGCACAATCTGGTTCATGCGCGGGCACCCCGCGATTACTGCTTATTGTTCTTTGACTGGGACGGCGGGGGTGCTGCATATTGCCTACTGCGTGTAGGACCACCAGACACTATGATGGCCACCCCGCCACGACTGCGCACTCGTTTTCGGTTTTCGACAAGGGTGGTGGGGGCCGACATGTTTCCCGATGTGTGCTGCCACGTGCGCAGGCGCACCCGGCACACTCTGCGCGTGCCCCGAAGGTGGCGCACCTGGCGCGGCTGGAGTATGCGGCACGCCTGGCGCACGCGGAGCACGTGGCGCATCAAGCGCACCAGGCGCGCCTGGCACGCTCGGGCCCCAGGCGCGCCTGGCGCGCCTGGCGAGCGTGGCGCACCTCGCCCCAGCGTCGTGCACATCTGGTCGGTTTTGATTCCCAATAGCTGCCCATCCAAAGACGACCGCTGAACATGCTGAGGTTCGGGTCTTACTTATGTGTCGGGAGGGTGGGTGGGAGTGAGCTAGACGGTTTGCTATCTAGGGGGCGTTTTGATCACTGTTCAAAAAAAACACCCCCTCCCCCAGGCGACTGGTAGCTAACCCAGAACCATGCGGGCACCCCCCATCATCCCTTGTACAAAACCATGCAATACAAACTCTGCCTCCAAATTCGGAACATGCGCAACCAACCCGATGCGGCCTCCCCCCACCATCCCTCTCAAAAAACAATGCATGCAGAAAACACTTGGCGGCGACGGCGGCGGCGGCTGCGGCGGCTGCGGCGGCGGCGGCGGTGGCGACGGCGGCGGCGGCGGTGGCGGCGGCGGCGGCGGTGGCGGTGGCGGCGGCTGCGGCGGCAGCGGCTGCGGCGGCGGCGATTTGGCAGCGGGGGCGGCGGCGGCGGCGGCGGGCAGCGGCGGCGGCGGCGGCGGCGGCAGCGGCGGCGGCAACGGCGGAGGCGGCGGCTGAGGCGGCGGATTGGCCCCTGCCCATCCAAAGACGACTGCTGAATATGCTGAGGCTCGGGCCAGACTCGGGTGCTACGTATGTGTTGGGAGGGCGGGTGGGAGTGAGCGAGACGGCTTGCGGGCGGGGAGGGCGTCTTGACCCCTCACTCAGGCCCCGGCGAAAAAGCCAAAATCATGGATTCGATCTAGATTTGGGACCAATTTGGGCCTCCTGGGAAGGGCGGGCGCTAAGTGGACCTCCCCCCCTTCTTGATCGATCGCCTCCAAGATGGCCCCAAGAGTGCCCCAAGAGGCGCTCAGGAGGCCCAAAGAGGTCCCCCAAGATCCCCCCAAGATGCAGCAGCCCCAGCAGAGGCTGCAGACGGCTGCGGCACCGAGGAGGGCCACCACCGTCGAGAGCAGCAAAAGAGTGACCCCGCTGCTCAGGTCCACCGCCAGCCCAAGGCAGACGGTGGGGGGCAGGCCCCGCCCCCACCGGCAGGGGGACACTGCCCCCCGCCGCCAGGGTCGGCCCGTGCGGTCCACGGCAACCCCGCGGAGGAGGCGCCGATGTCCGCAAGCGAGAGGAAAGGCTGGCCCACCAGCCGCTCGTAGAGCGCGGCTCGCAGGCCTCGGAAGAGCAGCTCAGCCGCCCCCTCAATGGCCGCCTGAGCGAACGCCTGCATAAGGCGCCCACCGAAGGTGGTCGCGAGGGGGGCTTGAGCCAAGCAGCTGCAACGACCGCGAAGCGCAAAGCAAGGAGAAGACTAAGAGAGAGAGAGAAAGAGCATCATCATCATCATCATCATCATCATCATCATCATCATCATCATCATCATCATCATCATCATCAACATCATCATCATCATCAACATCATCATCATCATCACCATCACCATCCCCATCCCCATCGTCATCATCATCATCATCATCATCTTAATCATCATCATCTTCATCATCATGAGCATCATCATCATCGTCATCATCATCTTCTTCATCATCATCGCAATCATCATCAACATCATCACAACCATCATCATAATCAGCATCATCCTTAACACCATCATCATCATCATCATCATCATCATCATCATCCTTAACACCATCATCATCATCATCATCATCATCATCATCATCATCATCATCATCATCGTCATCCTTAACACCATCATCATCATCAGCAGCAGCATCAGCATCATCATCATCATCAGCATCATCATCTTCATCACCACCACCGCCACCATCATCATCATGATCATCGTCATACTCATAATCAGCATCATCATCAGCATCATCAGTATAGCAGCATCAGCATCATCAGCATCATCATAAGCAGCATACTCATCATAATAATCATCATCAGCATGAGCATCAGCATCATCATCATCAGCATCAGCATCGTCATCAGCATCATCATCATAATCAGCATAATCATGTTCATCAGCATCATCAGCAACATCATCATCAGCAGTATCATCATCATCATCAGAAGCATCATCCTCATCACCATGAACACCATCATCATCAGCAGCATCATCATCATCATCATTTTCATCAGCATCATCATCAGCATCAACAACATCATCACCAGCATCAGCATCATCATCATCACCATCATCATCAATCATCACCATCCTCATCCTTCCCGCCAACTCCTCCTCTTCCTTCTCCTCCTCCTCCTCCTCCTCACTCTGCTCGTCTTCCTCGTGCTCCTCGTCCTCCTCCTCCTTTTCTTCCTCCTCCTCCTCCTCTTCCTCTGTCTCCCCCTGCTCGCCTTCCTCGTGCTCCTCCTCTTCCTCAGATTCCTCCTCATCCTCCTCCTCTCACGCCTCTCCCCCTCCTCCTTCCCACTTTTCCTCGTCCTCCATTTCGGGGAGGGCGGCTGATCGAAGACAAGACACAGCAGCTGATCAAGGGTCGGCGGGATGGCGTGGGCCTTCAGGATATGAGCGTGCCCCCGGTGCCCCAGATGGCGAAATACTGGCGGGGGGGAGGGGAAGAGAAGGAGCAGTGGAAGGGAGGGGGGTGAGGAAGTGGAGTTGTTGTGTGTCTGTTCTCTTGCCCTTGCTCTTGCTCTCTCTCTCTCTTTGTCTCTCTCTCTGGCACCGTTGACGAAAATATTCAACTCAGCCGTGCCACTGTCCCTTCCTGTGTCACGCGCTCGTCGACCCAAGCCCGCAGCGTGGCCAGATTTTCCAAGGGCTCCCAATTTCGCGCTTCGCGCTCCGCGAAGCGCGAAGCGCGAATACCTTCGCGCTCTCGCGCCGCCCCCTGGAGGGAAAAAAGAGGACGAGGAGGAGGGGGAGAAGGAACGAGGACCACAAAGCGCGAAGCGCGACTAACTTCGCGCCCTCGTGGGAGCCCTTGATTTTCCAAGGGTGGGGCGTGCGCGGCCATCAGCTGCGCACGCCCCGAGGCGGATGCGAAGCTTTTGGCCTCCTTTGGCGAGGCAGGGGAGCTTCGAGCTCCGCGCAGCTCGCAAACACGCCACAGTTTGGATGAAATTCTCGACGGGGCTTCATCAGTGCGGTGGAGGGGAGGAGAGTGGAGTGAAGGAGGAGGGATAAGTATCGGGGAGACGTAAGACCCGGGTACGGGGGACTCGGAAATCCCCGACGAGGTCGTCAAAAAAATGACGAGGCCGAGCCTGCATTTTGACGAGGCCTCCCGCTGCAGACATCCCACGAAACTCCTCCTCGTCAAAATCCGAGTCGCGGTCGTCAAAAAACGATGGCGAACCCGAGTCCCGGCAAACCCGGGTCTTACGCTCCCCCGAAAGTATGAGGAGGATCGATCCATCAAGCTGTCGGGCCGAGCGAGGCGCTACTTCGCATCGACATAGGAGGGGGACAAGAGTAAACCAGAGATGCATCATTGATACTGCAGTGCACCCTCCCGCCCAAAGTTCTCTCTGCATCAGTCTCTACAGGCGTTACATTTGTCTGCGCGGGGCGTCCCCTTACCCACGATCGCCACATGGGCCCACAAAACTCAGGCGGGAGCTCCGTTTTGAAACTAATTGCCATCCACCCCTCGAGCTCCAAGGAATGCGACGAAGCGTGTCTTTTCAATTCACTCGCCATCGCTCGGACGTCCATTCCCCGCGCATTTTTATGTTTCGTGCGTGTATTTCTTCTCGAGATGACCCAAAATACTCATGGATGTTCCTTACCGAGGGAAGGAGCAAACGTCCGAGCGATGCCACGACTCTGGGAAATCCGCCGGCCCCCTTGTGGGGCCACCAGGCTGTAGGCCGAAGATTCGCAGTTTCCTGTGCCAGTTGCAGCGTCCAGTTTCCACTGCCACGGTTCTGCTTCTTGCTGCTTACTGTTCCTTGTTGATGGACCGCGCGAGCGGGGGAGGCCCAAAACGGGTATTTTTACCACGCCCTGAGCGTGTGCTCTGAATTGCTGGGGTGGGTAAAAATTGACACCCCTCACGCAGATCGGGGTC